TGTACAACAAATCATGTTTAACAATGAACAATTAGGTAAAGTTATCAATAAAAAGCATACAATATTTAGAATTTAGATTTTGAATAGATATACGGCTAGTTTAAGGCGGTCCATCCATCCCATTAGCCTCAGTGTGTGGTATATTCTGGGATGCAGGGATGTATGTGGAGCCTGCTGGAGGTGATGTGAGCCAAACTCTGTAACTCATCAACAGTCCACTGATAACCCTTGTGGCCAGGGCCGCCTTAATGCACGGGCTGACCTGGGCTGAAGCCCAGGGGCCTAGGGAGATCGGGGGCCTATCATGAGCCAATACAAAATAAATAAAAAAATTCAATTTTTTATTTTTTATTTCGGGTGTTTTTTAAAAGAAATGTTAAATAAACAAAGTATTGGCTTTCAGAATATGAAACTTTCATTTCCAAAATCACACGATAAATACATTTTTGAAGCTTGTAAAGGGAAGACAACAGCTCTCCCTCGCCAGTCTGCTGTTCCACAGCGCCGCCCCCCCTCCCTCCACTGAAATTATTAATGTAAGACGTATAGTAGTATAGTAATCATTGATAACACGGCAAGGTCCGTTACAGTTTGTTTTCATCTGATTTAAAAAAAACAAAGTCTTGGCTTTCAGAATATTAAACTTGTTTCTGCAAATTCAGATGATAAATACAGCTTTGAAGTTTGTGACGGCATAATTACAAGCGGAGAACGGAGTAACTTGACATCACAGCAGGCATAACAACAGCCGGTGTTTCTCGTGAGTGTTTTGCCCGGGAAACAAACACAATACACACAAACGCAAATATACACAAACACACACACACACACACATAAACCAACATTATTCCTCGCGACNGAAAGGAATTACATTTATGTTGGTCTAGCCCAGTGGTTCTCAAACTTTTTCTGTCAGGCCCCCCCTTTGGGTGTTGGGGGGGCCCGACTTTTTTTTTTCTCCAAAGGGGGGGCCTGACAGAAAAAGTTTGAGAACCACTGGGCTAGACCAACATAAATGTAATTCCTTTCGGATTAAAAATCAAATTCAGTCTGGCTATGCGAGACCAGTCCTAAAGTCGCTCTGACATTCAGGAAAATGCCTGTTATCACACAAGCGTGCCCCATAAATGGCAGGTTGGTAAAGTGATTGTTCCAAAGGACATCAAGCAACATTCACTCACCAATTTCACAAATGTAACATGGTTAGGTCTGTTATATATCAGTACGCCACAAGGGTTATCAGTGGACTGTTGATGAGTTACAGAGTTTGGCTCACATCACCTCCAGCAGGCTCCACATACATCCCTGCATCCCAGAATATACCACACACTGTGAGGCTAATGGGATGGATGGACCGCCTTAAACTAGCCGTATATCTATTCAAAATCTAAATTCTAAATATTGTATGCTTTTTATTGATAACTTTACCTAATTGTTCATTGTTAAACATGATTTGTTGTACATCTGGTGTTAATAGGCGTTAGCTCAACAATTACGTTTTTGATTATGAAGCCTAAATTTAGTAAGTGGTGGTGTTGTTATAATTAAAAAGTACACAATCTATGTTTACAGTAGATAATGAATAAAGTCGTTGCATTCACTTTATGCATTGTACTTTCTTTGTAATAAATCAGCAGTGTTTTATGAGCCTATTTAGCCTCAGTGTTGCAATAAAGTATATTAAATCAAAAATGTCGTCATATATTTTTATGTTGCTGTAATTTCTTCAGGGATACAGCAGCAAACTACTGTTCATGATTTCACTAAAATATTAGATATTCAGTAGCTTTCTGAACTCACCTTTTTCATCATTTGAGACCTAAATCACACACAGGCCTTTGTCGGTTTCTTGCATTGTGGCACAGTTAAGCTACAACTGCAGGGATTAAATAGAAGCACATGATGATTCAACCCCGTGATTTCTCACTGAGTCGGCTGATGCAACCAATCATTTCCTCTACCTTCCTTGTCTTTTCTGCTTTCTCCTGACAGCGGGGCCCACTTCTCTGTTTCTCTCTCCCCGGAGCGCCATGGCCTCCCCTCGGCTGGAGACCTTCTGCTGTCCGAACCGGGACGCGGCCACAGACTTCGTGGTCTCCTTCCAGCCCGATTTGTTCGCTGCTCTGGGTCTGGCCAGCGCGACCCTCAGTCTCTTGTTTGCCGTTTTACAAATTCTGCCCAAACGCAAAGGATACAGAAGACTCGGGCAGTATCCGCTGCCGAGACCCGCATCCTCCTCCCGGATAGTGTTCATCATCAGTATATGTGACATACTGGGATGCATAGGTAAAGAACAGTCCTGCTTTCACTCCGAAAACTGTTTCACAACGTGGGTTTCTGGATTTAATTACACTCGCAAATATGTTGTTTTTAACCCTTTTGTTGCACTGCATCAGTTTATCTGACATGTGAAACAGAGAATAACATAAAACATAACTTTTAAAAATTGCCCCTTCTTGGTCAACTTAAAACTTGATAACAAACTTTGAATACGCAAATCTAAACTCAAAGTGTGTACGTGTGGTTTATTTGAGATGTTTGGTTCCAAAGCAAATTATTACGAAACAAAAGAATGAATCATTATCCTCTCATGTGAGTCATGATTCATGAATGATTCCTAACCACTGCAAACCATTTTTTCCTGTTGATCTGAATGCAGCATTGTTCTTATAGCAACCAATATCTACATGTTATTAACACTGGAAAACAGTGGTGTAAAGTAGATTCATTCAATTACAGTACTTTTTGATATACTTTTTTTGCTACTTTGTACTTCAACTCCAGTACAATTCAGAGGTAAATAATGTACTTCTACTCTACATTTATTATACCTTTAGTTACTCTGCAGATATGGATTAATGATGTGAATCAACACTTGCTGCAGCTTTACCTGCTTTGATAACACATTAATGCATCAATCATTTATAATAAAAACATATAATATACATCATTCTAAAATAGGCCAATCTGCATAATGAGTATACTTTTACTTTTGGTACTTGTTCACTTTTACTTGAGTAACATTTTAATTGCAGGACTTTTACTTGTAACAGAGTATTCCTACACTCTGGTACTTCTTATTTCACTTAAGTACACGATCTGAGTACTTCTCCCACCTCTGCTATTTTCAGCCGCACCAAAACCAATGTGACACTCGAGCTGTTCATTCACCACCCTGCCTATGCTCCTGGTGAGAGAGGAGGCAGATTAAGTCATGTATTACTGTTTGCTTAGTGCCCGGCGAGATCCATCCACAACTGCGGAATAACAGCTTGAAGCACACCCATGACACAGTTTAAAGAGAAATATACAACAGCATGTAGTCTGCATCACATTAACATTCTGGGAGAGCTCCCTGTTTTTCCATCCACAGTGAAGAGTCCTGTGTAGGAAATGGAAACACCCTTATAAAACACACCTGGAGGTAGTTCATATTTCCATGACATAAATCTGCAATTAAAAGGACTCCCATGACTGAATGTACTTAATTAAAACACTTAATAATACAGAATGAAATGATGCTTTAAATGTTAATCAAATCCAGATCCCTGTTTTGTTTTGTATTATTTCCTCTTCCAGCAGGCTTGTCTGATTCTCTCAACAGGTTACAAACATGAGATCATGTGTTGTTTTCCTCCTCCAGGTATCATTGTGCGGTCATCTGTCTGGCTGGGCCTGCCGAACGTCATTGAGCGTATCTCAGTGGCCAACAGCACCGAGGTCTGGCCAGAGGTCTTCTGTGTCGGCAGCGCAGTATGTATGATGCATTTTGACAAATCTTCCCCTTTTTTAACAGTCAAACAGTACAGTTAAGTTAAGTACATTTACCATACAGGTTGTTTAAGTTCAGACTCCAGTTTTGACAGATGACAGAACAAGGCGCTATAGCGGACACAAACTCATAATTCTGTTTATTCTAAATCATGCGTGATCCTGGGAAATCCAGATTTCACTCATGCTCAGCAAGCATGTGCACGGCTGACTGTAAAATATCAGTTAGCCCACGGCTTTTCAACTGTAAAGTCACACATAACATATTTACCTCAGTTAGTCATGCTTCTTATTATGACGAATGATCAACATTATGACCTGTATAGTAAGGGCCTTCTGTCTCATTTATGCGTTACAGATGTGGATCCAGTTGTTTTTTAGCGCTTCTTTCTGGTGGACCTTTTGTTATGCTGTCGATGTCTTCCTGGTGGTGAAAACGTCTGCAGGAATCAGGTATCTGAGCATCACCTTCCATATTTCATTATCACCTTAAAATCTTCTCCATTAATCACAAGATGAAGCGCAAAGCCTTAAACTGAGCTGAGAATGTGTGAAACATCCTTCTCTCACTTATTCCTCCTTTCTTCTATTCATGTGTTGCTTCTTCTCGCATGACTGACCCTAAAACTAGTTTGCAATTTGTTGTAGAGAGAGCATTTCCTAAAGGTGTACAGATGGATCAGTCATACTGTTTTCAGGTTCTTCCTGTGTTTCAATGGGCTAACAACAGAGTTGGGTGTAACAATATTACTTTTGTCGGTAACGGAGTAGTGTAACGCGTTACTTTTATAATTCAGTAATCACACTACAGTTACTAACATTGCCCCGACACGCGTTACTTCGTTACTTTTATAAAATAATCACACAAACTGACAGCAAGGCCGGATTAGTACCTCCAGAGGCCCCTGGGCACTGAGCACTCATTTTGGATTGTAGTTATAATTTTAATAAATAAATAAAAACACTTTGTTTAGTTTCGGTAATTATTCTGCCGGCCCATCTCTCCCCCATTCTCATTGAGTATTTTACAAAGAGTGAAACAGCGCCCCTCTAGATGTTATGATGAAACAGTAGATTGCACTCTCTGTTGCGAGAGGAGGTTAGCCGAAATTGGCTTCCCTTGGTGAAAAAAATCGAGGGATTGACCAATCAGATGAGGCTCACGTCATGCCTCACAATCCAATCAAATCGCATCAACTTCAGTTCGTACTGTAACCGTCATCACCGCCCTTAAAAAGTAGCAAGCAACTGAAGCAAGTGCAATTATGGAGGGTGGAGATTTGGAGTATTTCATCAAAAATAATTTTACTAAACTTCTGCTACAGCAGCAACTAAAAATGAAATCTGATGACAGGCCAATACCCAAACTGGAGCTGTGTACAGAGAGGAAAAAAGGAGCGAATCGGACGTAAAACTTTAAATAATAAACAGCGGATTTCTAACATTTGACATTTCATGTGGCCAGACTGGGTCAGTTTCCAGGGCTGAATTTTAGTCCCAGTCCGCCCCTGACCAGACGGCGACTGCTGCGTGAACGGGACCTAACGCTGCCAACAGCTGTGGAGATTTGCCGCCTTGCAGAATTGACGAAGTCACCCATGAGGCTTATTGAGAGCCCGCAGGCACAGGCGGACAGTATTAATGCTACGGTGGAGAGGCAAGGCGGACGACGCAAAACACAGTGGAAAACAGTGGAAAGAAACACAGCGGCTGAGAGAGAGCAGCAGTGGACCTGCAAATACTGTGGAAATGGACACAAACGGCGCAGAGAGCAGTGCCCAGCCTATGGCAAATAAAAATCGGTCGGGTCAGATTCTATGCGGAGTTGCAGCGGGCGAGAACCGGGGCCTTACGTACACTGACAACCGAAGCAGAGAATTTAAGTGCACAGAGCTATTATCGTCGATGGTTAGGTCCAACCGAAGAGTCGCCCACAAGAGCGACTCAACCCGCTATAGACAAATCTATTATCACTTTGCACACCACCCTTGGACGCCAAAGCGGCAATACCGGGGAGACTTTGTCAGTGGGTCAGAGGGAACGACGAGCGCCTCAACGGCCTGCCGATTCTCCTCGGATGGAAAACGGCGCAGGCGGTGCCGACTTGAGTCTACGCCGAAATGACAATCGACCAATAAAGATTCTACGGCTCGGCCCAGAGAGGATACCGACTACTAAAGGGCGAGGTGGAATTGTTGATATGAATGTAAATTGTGTACATAGCCGCATGGTCATTTCGCTCCATCCTTCGATTGGTTGTACTCTTGTCAATCCGTCCTTTATCGGTGAGCTCGCACCCTTTCTCGGGCATACGATCGGATAGTTCGATTTCATCGATGGCATCGTTGGCTACATCCGGTTGACACCTCAATGTCAGCGATCTCTCTTCCTCTCAACACTCACGAATCGACACTCCATTGCGGCACTAATGTTGCAGTCCGTCAACGGGGCGGACTAGTTCTCAAAAATCTTCTCTTAGCTAATACATTCTATTGAATTCGATAGTCGTTGTCTTGTCGGGTGTGCTATGGGCTCTACTGTTGTTCGTTGGCCTTCAATGTTGTACGAATGGCGTTATCACCGAGGCGACATCTTTGTTGGAGTCTGTCTCTTTCACACGGTTCGTCACAACGTTTGCTTACACACGGGTTAGCTCGAACGTGACCTCTTCCGCAGTGCTCGTAGTTTGGTCACACGTCTGTGCTCGGAACCCGTCAAACGGGATGTTTCTGCAGAACACGTACACCCATACCGCTGGACTCTCACGGACTGAACTCTCCGAAACGCCAGGTACGTCTAAGACATAGAACAGGCAAATCGGGATGACAGTGGTACGAACGAACTAGGTGCGACAACCGAGACGAGTGACCGCGATCAACGGACGACAAGTGTACAAAACAGGACGAGAAGGAATGTGGCCGAAAATCGCCGATGTCGTCGCTGTAAAACGACCACTCGTGACTGACCACAGGCTGAAGTCCCAAGTCTAGCTTTACTTATAATGGACCCTTGACTGAGCCTAGCCCAGTCCTATTTGTAGTACTTTCAGAAAGTCATCGTAAGAAAACGACCGACTTCATCTGACGAACGTAGTTATCACAAGTGGAGGCGGACGCGGGTTAATCAAGAAGACCTTATCACTTAAAGTGTTCGGGTCAGCTCGTACGGTCGTGGTGGATCGTCCGAAAAGAGAGAGAGATAACCACACGTGATAGAAGTTTGTGTTCAGACGACACAAAAGGGGCGACTGGTTGGTGTCAGTCACACTTACAAGGGGTCGCCGTACATACACAGTCTCATGTCGAATCGGAACAAAGACAGCCGACAAATCGCGACAGAAGCCGAACTGTCAAAGAGAAATTTGACGCCGGGTCATTGTAACGGTTAACGCGGGGTACTATACGCATCGACCGTATTGCACAGAAAAGATATAAGTCTGCACATCCGGGAAACGTGTTTGGTAAACGAAAAGTGTAAGGCATGTATAAGTCACTGTAACATATCAAAAGTGACACATAGAACTCAAGGGAAGCAAACGACCTGTAGAAGTTGTTGTCAATTGAAAGACCACAAAGAGACGGGACGACGACCGGACTGTATGAAAACGTTTCACTAAACTTTGTGGTGTAACGGGCAGCG